CTGTCTTCAAGGTAGTTGAACTCTGCAGACCGATCTGAGCTAAATGCAAATATTTTTTTTAAAAAAGAGGCTCTTGACCTGACTACTGACCTGACTACTGAACATTGGATTAGGGTTGTATGGAAATCATTACGAAAGACTTCAAACATTTTCACTGACCATGCCCTTTTAAAACTGGGGATCCGACGCCAAAACAATAAATGGGATTTGGAGACAAGCGCCCTATATCTACACCAAGAAATTCACACTCACCCCGCCCCTTTTCTTACTTTACTCCCACCCTGGCACCCCATCCTCAACTCCCCTTCCGGCCCTTCTCTGATCCCCCACGATGAATGGCTTAGCAAAGACCCTCAGCATCATGGTAGACATGCTGACATCACTAGCACAACAACAATCCCTCATTAAAACAGGCCATGGCTCAGAGGCGAGACTCTGTACCCATCCTCACAATCCCACCCACATCTACCTGAATTGAGCCCAGGCATTCCGCGACTGGGGTATCAGTCAACAATGGCTTGACAGGGCGCTAACGTATTGTAATAAATTTATGCCAAGGCCACTGCTGACCACAGCGAATGAACCACAACAATAATACCCCCCCCCCCCCGCGCCTCCTTCAACCCACCCCAACCTCTTCCACGGGTTGGATCTGCTCCAATAAAATATACGTCTTTTGATTTGTTGAAACATTTTTTGGGATCCAATGGCACATTTTGTTTGTATCACGTTTAAGAATTTTTATTATCATTAATTATGAATTAGAACTTTGTCCAGTAATCCGACCCCATCTATCCGTATTTGAAGCAATCTAGATTTTGATAATCAAAACCTGCCCCATCTGCAAGGAAAATGGCGTACAGGCGTAGATCTAGGTAGAGACTTGCAGCTCGTGTATGAAGCTAAGTTAACCTCTACATTTTCAAAATTTGTCTTTTTATTGTTGATTAGATTAAAGAGAACGTTACGCAGCAATTTTTGTTCAGAATGCAATTTTCTAACTTTCGTGTTTTTTCTTTTTTTTAACACACTTCTTTCATCTGCATTAGATCGCCATTTTGGCATAAGAACTTTTTTACTTAGACAGCTACCCCCTACAACGTTAAAAAGACCGTTGGGTTATGGTCCATTACTATTTTTACTAATTCTTAAAAAAAAATCTTGGCGTCTTGGCACAGACTCAAACAGAGGAGAAATGCACTGTGACCTGGAACTACCGAGCCACATTCGGTGACCTCTGAGCGAGATGGAGGCAGGCGTGGGGTGACCACTACACGGGTTGACCTATGGTCTGGCAGCAGTCGATTTCTCCTCAGACCTTCGTTCTTATATAATTGCATTAGGAGGTAACGGTTGGGAGCGGCTTTGGGGGTAGTCCCACTGCTATTTTCCCTCTTTTTTCTCGTTTATTTGTCGTCATAATAAATTATATATGAAACCACCTTTCTGTCGATCTCTTGATGGCTTTTTTTCTCTGTCAAGCACCCACCCAAACACACACACACACACACACACACACACACACACAAACACACACACACACACACACACACACACACACACACACACACACACACGCATAAACACACACACATATTATATATATATATATATATATATATATATAAATATATTCATATATATACACACATATATATAAATATATATTAAATGCACAAACTTAATATAATATACATTGTACATACATACGTAAAAACACAGCCCTTTCTCTCCCCCTCTCTCTCTCTCTCTCTCTCTCTCTCTCTCTCTCTCTCTCTCTCTCTCTCTCTCTCTCTCTCTCTCTTTCTCTTATAAACTCACGTAATACGCCTACATTTTGACTCTCTTTCTCCCCAAACTGTCACTCTCCTTTTCTCTCTCTTTTCTCTTGTTTTTCTTGTCCTCACACCTCTGCAATACCACAAGATATATCAAAACGTGTTTTGCCACAACAGCTCACACGCCCAGTAGTTTACGGACACAAGTACCATCAGCTGTCCATACGTCTGCCTGTTCATCTATTTGATCTAGTCAACTGTCCTGATGGCCAGTCATCCATCAGCCTACTTATCTATTCGTTCATCCATCAATTTCAGCGTCTACTTGTTGTCCACGCTTCTGTTCATCCATTCATCCATTTATCCATACACCCAGTTTGCCCATCCACAGTTTGTAAACTCCGTACGGTGTGTCAGAATGTATTTGCCCCACTGGAGTCATCAAAAGTCCTACCGTAACTAACTGAACGTCTAAACAAAGAGTGAAAGCACAACTAATAGACAACGTTTCAAGGCAAAAGGGACTACACGAATATTCCCTAATAAAATTATACAAGCATATCAAATGCTGCAAACAATCATCTAGATTAAATAATCAACTTAGCAAAACAAGGAATTGGTACAGAAGGACACATAGTGTGTCAAAAACATAATCCAACGTTCACTTGTGTCTTTGCCTCTCAACTTTTACGTATATCAAATACAGAAATTAGGCAAAATAATGTGTTTATTATGCTATCAGCCTTCAAGCAGCGTCATTGTATTGAAAAAAAATCATCAAAAAAAAAAAAAAAAAAGACACCCCCCCTACAAAAAAACATCTACAAACTCGTCCAGGTATGCAATAAAAGATGTTCGCCTCTTTGAGATACACAACTTAATAAAGCGAGCAGAGCAAAATGGAATACAAAAACGACATTTCCAACAGAAGTACGTCTGTATTACATCATAACCATCATAACAACGAAAACGCACACGAGTAAGCCACATATCTCCAAACAAACGTAATATCAATAAATCGTAATAGAGGAAAATTGAATATAAAGATAAGCATTGCCAGAGCTCTATATTCGTTATGTAAAAAGCGGTTGCCTACCGCTGCTCATGGCAGGCAACCGTTGTGCACTGGATCCCCGCGATGATAAACAGGAGCTACATACCGTTCCACATTTCGCCCCTTTCCACACCCTGGAACCTGTTGGCGCGGATGCTTCATCGGAACGGTTTGTTCCACTTTCAACAGCCCTGCTATCTTCCGTAAAGCCGTAGCTCTAGTGCTGTGCAGTATTAATCATCGAAACAAAAAGTCGTCAATGCTTCGAATATTGGTCCTAAGGAATATTCGAATAGTGTTTTAGATCATGGGTGTGCTAATTGAAAGGAAACAAGGTGGAGTTTACTTTGCTTAAAGTGGGAGTCACCGAAAAGTCTGCTTCTATTGTTAAAAGAAGACAGAAAGAATCCTGAGCAGTGTTTAAAATAGTACCCATCAAGCATAAAACTTGAAACGCCATTTTTACATCAGTGCCGTGTAACTGTTCGACGAGTAGTTATTCAAGATCAAGCAAATATTGAGCAATAATGAATTACTTTTGATTTTAATTTTAGAATGATTTCAGGAAGTGACTAGTTATGTGATAAGAAGTGACTAGAAACTGGACCTAATGATTTGGGACTTAATTTCAAATGTCAGTCAACATGTGGTTTATGTTATGTATAGTATAAGCAAAAATGATTGTTTGCCCGTACTCTTTATTGACCAAAACAACTTAATATTATACCTTTTCAAAATCACAACTGTTAGTAAGCCAGGGCAGCTGTAGAATAGCAGTTGTGCAGTCATGCCATTCGAATAAGCTCTTCGAATGCGAACAGCACCACTCAGCGGAGCTTCCAACTCAACCTGGGCAGGTGTACGAAGATTCCGAAGGAACATCAAAATAGCTTGTTGTCGTTCCGTGTTGGTTCGCGGCCGTTCCTGCAGCACCGGAAAGAAGAATCGCTTCGTTTGGAGTCACATGGTGCGTGACGTGATAGGTCGTAAAGACGTCCGCTCTTGAGCCTCATGCTGAAAGCTCGGAGATTAAGCTGCGTACTGATAACGTCGTCAGATCACCGACATGTAACTCTGGGGAAACGTTTCCTCCTTGCATGCTCAATGATAACATAATTCCACGTCGGCTTCTTGACGTGTGTGTGCGTACGGGGTAGACATAACAATTTTACCCTCTGAACTTCATGAGTAGCACGTTAATGTGTAAAGTGCATAGAGCCTGCTGTCGAGCGGAGATGTGCGCTATACAAAAACTATTCTTTATTCTTTTATTATCATTATTATCATTATTACTATTATCACGATTATTATTACCGGTTGAATCACGAGAGAATCACATCCGGCCCTATTACTAATATACGTGTGAAAATAAATGAATCTGAATGTATGTGTGTGAATATATGATGTGTATGGGTGTATAGACATATGTAAGGCAGCGTGGTGGAATCAGGCTCTCGTCAATTTTCGGGCATGTAGAGTTATTGGTATCATCTTAAAGCTTGTTCACTTGTCTTTATTTGGATTAAAAAATATCCATTTATCTTGAATACAAGTCGAGATATTTTCGAAAGAAGGAGGTGGGGTCACCTGTTTTCAGAGGTAAAATTAATGAGAAAATGGCCGCCAAAGATTAGTTATTTCCTTAGCTTAAGAGTCCGTGGTAACTGAAAATTTTCATTTTTTGTGCTTTTAATCAACGTTTTTCAGAAAAATCCACACAGAAATGAGTTCTTTAATGGGCATGAAAGGTGTTGAGCCAAAAAAACCCAAACAATTTATGATAACACACAAAGCTGCGGAAAAATGCCAGTTTCTTCACTTTGATTATTTTGACGAGAGCCTGATTCCACCCCACTGCCTTACATATTATGTGCTACCTTGTACGTATGTATGCTCACACTGCCCCTGACTAGTAATTGCATTATCAACACAATTTCGTGGTCTGCGTTCTATGTTCAGAAATGGCCGTACTTGAGACTAATTGAACCATTACGTGCCAGACAATAGTCCATCATCTTGTGCATCTTCGGGTGTTAAATGTACGTAGCGACCTGTTTTTTTCTTTTTCCCTGTTGCAGTCTGGTTTTTGTTTGCTATCCTTTTTCTAAAGCAGAGTGATTATTTCAGAGGAGTTATAATGTTCGTCCTTTTGCCCTGCTACTGGCGGTTTATTCCCCAGAGTTGAAGCCAGTGCCAGATATCTGACGTACATGTTCATGACTTGGGTGCAGCAACATGTGAAGGCTTTGTATGAGTGCATCACTAGGCACAGAGATCACCGACGCCGTTCTATGTTTGATAACAAAACAACGCAAATCCTTACAAAAATTAGATTCGCATGGGGGAAACAATATGTTACAAGATGAAATGAAACTATCATTGTCTTGTAAGCTGAGAATATTATAGTTTCATGATCTTTACATGAGTGATTTTTATGCCATTTTCATGAAACTTTGGGTACGTATACTAATGTAGGTATGCAAACAGAATTCACAGTACAATAGAATTAAACGAATTAATTACCAGTAGTTATTCGGATAGTTTAAATTAACGTGAACATACACTATTTGGCCTTTTGCACAAAGCCACGAGACTTATGGGGATTTGTAAGAGAACTGCAATGAAGGACAGCCGTAGTGAGAACCGAAGTAAATCAGACATACTAACGTTAAAAACAGGACACCATGCATAAAATATCAAATATCTCTTCTATACATCCGCGTTGAATTTTCTTCCACACACTTGCCTCTGGTTCAAGAACAACACAACGTGACCCCACAGCATCATCCATCCCTGTAACTGGTTAAAGTTGTCATGTTACGGGCTGCAGGCGATATATACACCTCGAAAGGTGTTTCATTCCAGTCGAGTCTGCAATGTCAAGCAGGGTTTTTTTTAATGATTTGCATGATCAAATGTTGTCCCAGTTTGTTTGAGGACGTGGAAAATTGCCTGATGTATGTGCTCACCTACGAAGCAATGCTGCCATGTATAGTGCTGCGGGTCAGATGATGACGTAGCCGGAAGTGACGTGATAAACAATCTACTTCTAGAAATGACGTTGAGGCAACTGTCATTGTGCACAGTGAAGCAAAAGAAGCGCAAGATTCATCCGATACACATGAAGGCGTCGTACCTGAGCGAAATCTGATCATAGGATTCGTATAAGCGTAAACCTTCTTTAGCATGCTACCCTAAATCCAATTGCAGACAATATGTAAATGCATCACAAATTGAACTGGAAAGCTGAAGACTTGACGTAGAAAAGATAATTGAACTACTGTCAAATGAACGTTACATTCACATATTAGTAGAGCCTTACCACTGGAGAAAAACGACAGCAAGTACCACAAACACATACTTCAAACCATTTTGCAGAATATAAAATCAGTACATGTTGACAAGATTTGACTTCTCTTCAAAGGAAGGTCATTGCAAATTGCACGTGAAAAGACACTCGATCTTCAACCCAAACCAACTCGGCTAGACAGAGTGATAACAGCTATCTCCGTAACGATTCATATGGTGGTGTGTGTGGCTATTAGTTGACCGCTGTCTCTTCAAGTAGGTCTTTGGGCATATCAGATGTAAGAATATGTTCCTGAACTTCCGCCCCAGTAAACAGTAGAAGAAAAAGTCCGTGCTTGCGTTTACACACAGCATCGTGTCGTTTGCAATGAGGAGGTAGGAGGATAGAAGGTTGGCGGGGGAGTTCTCTACAATCTGGATGACGTTGTAGATGGCAGGAATCAGACAGCAGATAAAGAAGCAGACGGTGATGCCGACGACGATTAAGGTAAGGCCATCCTCGAGGTCCGTAGGTTTGGGGCTGTTGATCTGAGGGTGAGCATAGAGATGACAGTCATTGGTAAGTATACACCCACACCCATACACCCACCCACTGATACACGCACACAAACACACACACACACACACACACACACACACACACACACACACACACAACACACACACACACACAAGCATACACGCACGCACGCCTATTATACACGCATACACACGCGAAATCTCTCGTTCTCCCAAACACATATATTCTGACACACAAACATGCACGCATTCACCAACAAGGACAACCCCACCCCCAATTCCCTTGTTCATACATATTCAAAGAGTGAGAGAGAGAGAGAGAGAGAGAGAGAGAGAGAGAGAGAGAGAGAGAGAGAGAGAGAGAGAGAGAGAGAGATAGAGGGAGAGACCGATGGAGGGAGACAGCGAGAGAGAGAGAGAAAGAGAGGGAGAGCGAGAGAGAGAGAGGGAGAGAGAGAGAGAGAGAGAGAGAGAGAGAGAGAGAGAGAGAGAGAGAGAGAGAGAGAGAGAGAGGGGGGGGGGCATGGATCAAATGTATTGGATGGATAGACAAGAAAGTAGGTTCATAGAGAGATTGATAGATGTATAGAAAGACAAACAGACAGACAGACAGATAGAAAGACAGACGAACAGATAGACAAATAGATGGGTGGATAGATAGATAGATAGATAGATAGATAGATAGAGAGAGAGAGATAGAGATAGATAGATAGATAGATACTCGTAGATAGATAGATAGATAGATAGATAGATAGATAGATAGATAGATAGATAGATAGATAAATAGATAGATCGATCACGGACAAAATAATCAAATGGGCACCCTGTATTTATAAGGTCGTCCAATTTCAGCGAGTAAATAGAAGTAATTGAATCTTTCACAAGTTAGAGAAATATTGTACAAATCTCTAACAAGATTTATGCTCTTCGAAACGTAAAAATCCCAATGTGATGTTGCAGAAATTGTTTATAGTAATTTATTCGCTTTATATAATACCCCAGTACCCCCCCCCCCCCACCCGTCCTTCCCCTCTTAACCAACCATTGTTTAAAGGGAGTGTATACAGACCCGGTAACCGGGAAAAAGTCACAAAAGTATACAGACCCGGTAGGGGAACTCTTTTGTGATTTCGGAGAGTTTCAGCGCCCTCTTGGCTCAGCGTAGACCTAGGTTCTTCTAGATCTATGGTCTAGATCTAGATATAGGCAGACCACAGAATTCTACACTTAGTGTAGAATTCTGTGAGGCAGACAGACGTAAATCTTTGATCTAGTTTCGCGGCTAACCTAGATCTAAGTGGGTGGTTGGCGGGTGCTCTGGTGTGGTTTGGTTCTTCTTTCCTATAAAATATCTATCATCCTTATCTCTCCTCCTCCTTTTTTGTGTTTGTTACTCTCTTGTAACACCTCTAATCTTCGGCACTTATATAACCTTATTGTGTTGCAAGTGCCGTAAAACTCTTACTAAAACTTAAAAAAAAAAACTATATCTAAATGAAGATTGCAGATGTCCTTTCGATGAACGATCGTTTTTCCTCCGTTTTGGAGTTGGGGGGAATCACAATTTGAAGAAAAGAACAAGTCAATATTCAATCGAGCAGTCCCACCCCCCCTCTCTCTCTCCCTCTCTCTCTCTCTCTCTCACACACACACACACACACACACACACACACACACACACACACACACACACACACACACACACACACACACACACACACTAGATTTCTACCGGGTCTGGGGGCTGAAACTTTCCGAAATCACAAAAGAGTTCCCCTACCGGGTCTGTATATTTCGTGACTTTGTTCCCGGTGACCGGGTCTGCATACACTTCGTTGTTTAAAATGGTGTTTAAAATTACTAAAAAGGTTCACAGAATGTGGTTATTACGCAATGACACTACTCCCTCTTCCTCCCCCCCCCTCCTCTCTTTTTTGTTTTCTCAACATCTTTTCCCTGCCCCCGACCCCGCATCTAAAAAGAGAAATAAAACCCAACAAAACAGTATCACCACCCCACTGAGTCCTCTAATTTCTTTTTATAGATACGATCCACACCCTCCTCCCTCGTTCCCCAAATGACCTGCGGTCCAGCCCCCCCCCCCTCCCCGACTAAAAAAAAAAGAAAAAATATTTTAGGCCCCAACCTTCACACCCCTCAGCTTTTTACACTATAGTCCAACAAAATAATCAATTAATTTCTGGACATATCCTGGACAAATCTCCTAAGTATTAATTAATTCAAGTAAAGGCAAACGAGGCCCCGCCTACCTGATGTTCGTTCTTGACACTGATTCGCCGCGTTTCGTCCCTCCTTCGCTTGATGGCCAGCAGTAGCTGTATGTTCAGGATCGGGATGAGCAGGTAAGGCAGAAGGTAGAAAAATACACAAGTCACGTACAGCTCGTACACTTTTTGGTACAACCAAAGGTAGTACACCCTGTTCTCCTCCTCCTCTGTCAAGGGGCGGAGCGTAAGTGTAACGTTGACTCCGCCCATATCCTGAGTATTGTTGGAGACAGTCATTGCAGTTGGATCTGAGTGGTAGATCGTGCTGTCTGACTGGTTGGCCATCATAGAATTATTCTGTGAATTAATCAAAATTAAAAAAATCAGGCCTCAGGCTATTAAAAAAACACTCAAAAAACTATTTCCGATGACAATACATAAGTATTTCATCAACGTCATTCCACGGTCGACTAAAATCAAATTTTAAGGATTTCCAGATTAAGCTATTATTCGAATAAAGGCGACAAGGGACATGTTGCTATAGAACTTCGTCCTGTTTCGTTAATGTCTTTGTAATTTTTAACTGAAGAAAAAACCCACGGGTGCCCAAGTCATTGACCTGGGTTTGGCGCTCTTAAAATTTTTTTTTCTTCTCAAACCTTTGAAAAATGAGTTAGAATATTGTGGCATTACTCTGACGATTTTACTACTTTCGAAACAGCACCATGCAAATCTCGATGGGGGAAGTTGGTTTGATCATAATACATACATATACAGTAGTCTCCGCCTAAGATCCCGCCGCTTACGATCCCGGTTCGCTTAAGACCCCGTTGTTTTAGGAAAACAGAATTTTTACTATACAAAAGCCACCCCTAAGATCCCGCTCTGATGGTCTACATTCGGCTAAGATCCCGCATTTCAGATCATAATTTGCTAAACAAAAACCCGGGCGGGCACAGCCCATCAACCAAGAGTGAAAAGTTGAGATCAATAAACTGTCCGTCTCGTCAAAGATCAGCCACTATCGTGAATGTGATCACATACACGTAGTAAAACTCGATGAAGCGATACAATGTTTGCCCCAGACGGGATCACACCGGGGTGTGAACTGACCGACGCGTTTGTTTTCCCCACGCATCGCACTCACACCTGAGCTCTCCCCCTAAACTTGCATCACTCGCTGGGTGGGTAGGGCCTACAAGTTCGCTCCTGGCAGGATCACATCGAACCGTGAACTCTTCCTTGACCATTGCAGCAGTTGTCTCTACTCCCGAATTTGCGAGACAGACTGAATTTTAATTGGTGTGTCCCCAACGTAATGGTGTGTAACGACAAAGGCGGTTTGGAGGGAGGGGGGGGGGGGGCTCGGTCAGAGATGGAAAGCTATACATTTTTGACAGGTAAAGAGGAGGGGCAATTGGATAATCGTAGATCCTGAAACTCATGATAGGATAATAAGTGGAAATGGCACGCCTCATCCCACTATGCACAGTGATAGGTCATCAACGTTAACCACTCTTTGCTCGCCATATGCCATAAACCCACCAAGAGGGAACGCCAGTTCATCTTAGAGTGGAGGGAGACCATTTTACCGTTATTGAGCCTTAACATGGTTCACCATAGATCTTCCCTGGGTTCGTCGGTTAAGATCCCGGTTCGCCTAAGATCCCGCATTTCCTTGCTCCCGAGCACCGGGATCTTAGGCGGAGACTACTGGGTCAACCTGGGCAGTGTGGGATAAATCTTAAAAGGAAAAGTACAAGAACTCTCTGAAATATTGGGGAAAGTAAACTGCATCCTTTCATTCGATACTTACTCAACCTAGCTTTAAGTTAAGGGTCTCCACTCTCCTTAAGGCCACCTCAGGATCGCTGTGACGTCATGTAAGAAATACGCTTTTTAACTTGTTCTTACGATGGGGAATCGAAATAATTGTCCTTTCTTGTGAATCGAGGTCTCGTGCTTTAGGAGTTAGGCAATGACTATTTGACCATTACACTACAGGGAATGGTTGTCATACATTGTAATCTACTAAATATCAGGAGAATTTACTGATATTTGATATTTCCCCCCTGTTTTAGATATTTTTAACGTACACACAGGGTACAATTGAAACACGGATATGAACAGAACAGGTAGTATCTTGGCGAGCATACATATGTTACCGGCCCTATTCTAAGTTCTATTACTGTCTCTAAAACTTTGTTAAAAATGCTGATTTGTATGTGTTTTTAAAAAAATGCCTGGACACCGCTCAGTTTCGGAATAACCTTGGCACCTGGAAGAGAAGGTACCGTCAATCAAGCAAGCTGATACCACAACATTAATACAGGGAAAAGCATACAGTAAAACCTACAACGGACATCGAGACCAGTGGGAAATGCTGTGCAAGCTATCGGTCATGGGACCATGCTCTATCTCAATCTCGATCAGTCACCAGAGACCATTCAGGTCCAGAATCGGTTTAATCAGAGATCTGCCAGCTCCAGGACAGTCAACTCTCCCTCTCCCCCCGCCTTCCTTTCATAAGATGATGAAAATGACCTTCATAGTCTCGGTTGACAAGAGAACAAACAGCCGCAGCGATATCAGCAGTTTTACAATAATCGACTCAAGAAGATGTATGCCTCGCTGTACTCTCCTTCTCGCACCCATATGTCTGCCCGTCCGTCTGTCTGTCTGTCTGTCTGTCTGTCTGTCTGTCTGTCTGTCTGTCTGTCTGTCTGTCTGTCTGTCTC